CGCCTCATCCTTATCTGAATTTGCTTTTTGAGCAACAATAATTTGATCTTTATAAGCACGCTCATAACTTTGAGATGATTGTTGGTATCTGTCAAGATCTATCGTTGCAGTTTGAAGCTTTTTGTTGAGTTTGTCGACCTCAGCATTCTAAATAGTTATTAACAATAAAAAAATATTTAATTAATAAATTAATTGCGTGATAAATTAATTACAATAAAATGATCACCTTTTCTTCTATCGCCGATTTGGCTAAATTTTGCCATTGTTCTACATCTTTCTCTAACGACTCGCATCGTTTCATATACGAATCTTTTTCGAGTTCCGATAGCCTACATTTATGCTATACATGCATAAAAGATTCATTTACTTAATTGAATAAGCTTAATAGGATCAAAAAAAAAAGTTACTCGAATACATTACTTGTAATTGATATTCGCTATTCCTACATTCTTGAAGCTCATTCTCCAACTTTTGTATTTGATTATGGTGTTGTTGTCTTAAAGAAGACATCTTTTCATAGGTATCTGTGACAATAAATAATCATACATTAACACCGATTTTCAGAAAATTCAAATAAGATATACTATATAATTGCCTTTCGCTTGAGCCAACTCTTGAAATTTGGCTGTCTCAAGAGATATACGACTTTCCCGTTCTTGCTCTTGTAGTTTCTCTTGCTGTGCACATTCAAAAAGCGCCCTTTCTATTTCATCCTTCAATTGTTTGTTTTCATCTTTTAATCGACTATTTTCATTTTCTTAAAGAATATAAAACCTTTTAGATCTCGTCAAAAATAACCAAAATAAAAAAAATGAAAATTACGACCAATTACCAATTGCTATCAATCTTTTTTTGTTTTCTTCCACGAGGCGCTTTTGATCTTCATTCGACTTCTTGTAATCTCGTATCTTGTTTTCTGCACTGTTTAGCTTTTGATCTAATAAAATAATAAACGATAAATATATTAGAAATAAAAATTACATACGAAGAAAAAAAAAATACCTTAAATTATTGACACTATACCGTAAGTAGCCTTGACAATGGTCAACTTTTGGCGAAGTTCATTATTATCGTCTGTCTGAGATGTTTCCGATTCCATAATATTGTTAAGATCTGTGGTTTGATCAAATTAATCCTGAACTGATCAGGCCCCAGTAAGTAATTGAACGAGTTTGGCTGCAAAAGGTGTTTTTTTGTTGGTTTAATTCTACGATTATTCGAGGAAGAAAAAAAACCTTTTTTTTCTTTTTTTTACTTTAAAAAATAAAGAGCTCTTGTTACCTTTGAACTCTTTTTTTTTTTTTTGCAAGAACCTTTGGTTAGATCCTTCGCACGGTGAAATTATAAATGAAGGTTTGGTAAAATTGACATGCTTGTGTGATGTTACGCAATAAAATACGATCTATTTACATCCATAAAAGGTAGTTCGCATCACGTGACATTTATTTTTATTATATGTGGTAGATGCCCAGAATACGTGAAATTCTGACCGAATTCATATGGTAACTCATCTTCAAAGATATTTATTTTATTCAACGTAAATACTATCGAAGACTTTCCAATGTTTCGACAGAAATTGTGGTTTTGTGGTTTTCACAAAGTGATCCCTCCAAAGATAAATAAATTCTTCTAACTTTGGCCACCTCTCTCTTGTACTACTACTACTAGCACCTTCACCCGAACCAGTTACATCATGACTATCTTTTAATAATTGACTGACGACATATTCCCCATGTTCAATGAACTCGTTAGTTTTTTCATACTCCGGTAACATGAGAGCTTGTTCAATGATATCATCTAATTTATCACTTTTGACTTTATTGGTAGTTTGTTGCCAAGTGATTAAAATATTTCTTAACTCTCGCATTCGGTCTTCCGGGATCCCGATTTTATTTAAAGCCGAAGCCGCTTTTTTCACTTTTACATTGTAATCCAAACGAACTCGACCTCGACCGTTCAAAGGTATATTATAATCTTTGGCAATTTTCTTCTTGAGTTCGCTTGCTGCTTTTTCATATGATGTGTGACACCTTATACACATCAAAAGAATATCGTGATTCTAATAAAACAAAAAAAAAAAATATATATATAATATAGACGTGTGCATTTTGATTTGTTTTTTTTTTTTTTACTTGCTGTTACAATTATCACATACCGTATGAGATTTTACGACCTCAGGCATTTGTCTACGATACATCTCAGGAACCACATGATGTCTAGTCAAATTTTCATTGTCACCGCAGCAAACACAAAAGTTGCATCTATCTTCCAGATGATATTTATCAAAGATATGTCCTAACCCTTTGGGTTGAAAATTTAATTGAATGCTATCATCCGCAATTTGATTCGCTAGGTTTCTCGATAGATACCAAGAAATCTTTTTGGTATTGCAACGAAACATTAATTCCCCTCCCAAGGAATACACTTTCCAATTATCATAAGCTCTTTCACGTATCGATTGCATAAATAGTTTTTGTTGTTGCGTTCAATTGTTCGTTTCAGCTCTTTTATGCCAAACAATGGTTGGTAATCATGTGATGTCGGACAAATGTCCGATCATTGTTACTGATTTGATTTTTCAATGACTAAATAATTTTGATATCGGTTATTCAAAAATGTCTACTATAATTCAGGCAATTTATCAAAGTAAAGAGGACACGGCAAATGAAAAAAAATTTAAATATGAAATTATAAATTCTATTGAAAATAACAATTCAACCGCTAATCAAAGCATGAAGTCTTTGACTAACGCTCTAATATGTCTTCAAAAAGACATTAATGTCTATCTAACATCGAAATTACACGAAGGCAATATTGAAGAAATAACCGGAGATGATGATGATAATGATAACATTGAAGATAATGAAAGCAACGAATAACGGGTGAGTTAATACTTTAGAAAAATTATCTGGTGAATTGTCTTAAATAATTTATTCTCTAAAGGATCGTTGTTTTTCGATTCATAACTTTATCAAAAGATTTTCCTTCCGTTATTATTATTATATAAGAGATGTAACGAATTTAATAAATTTGCTCAACCAAACTTTTAATGACTACATTTTTTCTTTCATTCCAAAAAAAATACTTTTAATCATTTCTTATTCTATTGGTCGGGTGAATTAGTTAAATTTCTAGCAAAGAGGCTTTAATTAGATTTGAATTGTTAAAGAGTTTTAATAAATTTGAATCAGCAAATGTAAAGACACTTGACATGTCATTTTTTATTTTTATTAATTATTCCATCCCGCTCGTTTAATTCTCGCATATTATCATCAGCTATACTTCTAATTGTATATACTACACCTTTGTTCAATTGTTCCTCATTGAAATCGGAAAGGAATGGGTACAGGAGATCGCCGCAGATAAAGAATTTAAATATAAAATTATGAATTCAGCAACTACTTCTAATTTTACTTCGAAGACGTTAATCTCTATCTAACTTCAAAATTATACATTTTAAACGAAGACAACTTGACGAATTAAATCAAGGATATCGAAACGATTTCTTATTTTATTCTCTAAGAATCGTTGTTTTGCTTCATAACATTATTATTAAAAAATTTTTTCCGTCTGCTAATAATCAAATTATGTTGATTAATATTAATTATTGTAATACCGAATTAAATGAATTATAAAGTAAAAAGATCATTGATGAACCGAACTTTTAATGTCTACATTTTTTTTTTTCAGTGTGTACAATATTTTTTTTAAATCATTTCTTAATTGTAAATAATATATCTTAAATTGAATACCTTCCTTTGATCGGTTGGATTATTCATCGAAATTAAATGTCTAACAATGAAGACTTTGATTAGATTTGAATCGTTCAATTAAGGAAAATGTTACAATAAATTTGAATCAGTAAAAGTAGACATTCGACATGTTATTTTATTAAATGATTCCGTCCGCCCGTCTAATTTCTCATCATATTATAATCAGCCTATCCTTCAAATTAATAAAGAAACTTACCACTATCAAAGATAAAGACCATAAGCAAAAAAATAAAATAAAAAAATGTAAATAAAATAAAAAGTTATTCGCAAACGAAAAAAAAAAAAAAAATTCGGGAAAAATACCTGATGGATCTGCAATAGATGAGATGTCTTATACTGTGAACATCTATAAAATTATGGAACTTAAAAAATCTCTGTTGTAATTTTCATCACGAAGATACTACGCGATTGAGACAAGAAAAAGAACAAGAAAAAGAAAAAAATGCTTGAATATTGCCATTGAATAAAAATAAAAATAATACTGAATAATCAAATATTGAACATTTTGAAACTTGATTAAAAATATAGTGCTTGTTCGTTACTAGATAATGTTGCATGACGTGGACGTCAGTTCTAATTACATCCCCCAAAAAAATCTCAACCTCTCCCGTTTGTTTCTATCTAAATTTTATTTTTCCATTTCTTCATTATTCCCAAGTTTTCCTTCTTGGCAGTTTGTTTTCCCCAATTCTATCCTTCTGGGCGTTTTGGTATCCAGTTATCCCTTCTGGAAGTTTGGTAACCAGTTTCTATCTGATCGAAGCTCTTTGACTGAAAAGGAGCCTCATACGGAACCAGTAGACCTTTATCAGCTGTTTTTCAAAGTAACGTGTGAAACAAAAAAAGTTTATATCTATGGAAAAAAGGGATAATATTTAAGGTTTTCAATTCATATATGAGAAAAAAAATACAGTTATTTTTTTAAACCTTATATACCAGATCACAATGTTGAAAATTACTAAATTTAGCAAGATACCAAACGCGTTTGATAAAATAAACATGATAATTTTCTTTATTTTATTAATATGAAAGTTGATAGAATTTCTGAGCCACATCTTCTTACTCATAAGTTCCTAATTTCAAACATCAGGCTGGTTTCATTAATGATCGGGTTATCATTTATGTATGATGGATATCAATACGTAAAATTGAACCATGAAAAAGAAAAGAAAGTGATAACTTAGGATTATTTTGGAAAATATTATTAAATATTTATTACTAATAATTCTACGAAAAATACTGAAATTGTAATCCAACTGATCGTATAGGTGATATTCTAGAAGTTAAATCCGCTACTAATCCCAAACTAAACAACATTTTCCCATATTTTCCTTCCCACAAAAGTGTAATTCCCCTAGAAGTTCCTACTGTAGCTTTTACGATTCCAGTTACTTCACCTTGTGAAGATTTATTAACAGTATCATCGTTTGACTCACTTTCTCTTTCGTGCTCTCTTTGCCACCATTCAGCGCCAATCATCAAATCACTCTCATAACTATACATATTAAATTCGAATCTTGGACATAATGCCAAATCATCAGATACTTGCGCAGCAAACGCCGCTGACATATGTCCCATGATCGGATTAATCAGGTAAGTCACACTAATAGGAGATTGTAACGAAAACTGTGGGAGTGATCGATAACGTATCCCAGCGGAAACTATAAACAAAATTCTTTAATATAGAATTTTTTAATTTAATAATAATTTTTTTTTTTTCGGTAAAAGATATCAATTCATTACCTCCACCACTTCTTTCTCTCACACCGTAATATAATTCAGCACCGATAGACCATTCTCCTTTCAATGATTCCACTTCATCATCATCTTCGGATTCAGATGATACGTCAAACACATTTCTTTCAACCAGAGGTGCTTTCAAATTATCGTCCTTCTTTTTCTTTTTATCCTGTAAACTCTGTTCTTCATTGTTAGAATCTGTATCCGTTTCTTCTTGACTTTGACTTGCAAAATTGTATAATCCTCTCACTCCAAACAATTCTCCATCAGTGGTATAAGACAGTTCAGTACACCATTGTCCGACGTCATATTGTAACTCGGTGGTAACCTATAATAATTAGAACAATGTCAACACATGATTTCTTGGGCCTTTAATAAACACAAGAAAGGTTATTAATGATAGTAATAAAATGTACATTACGTGTGAAGCTGCTTTTGACCTTGGATCACTAACAGCTGTGACGACACATTGCATCCATCGAGAAAATCTCTTGGAATAAATGGCTTCAAGACGACCAGTTGGGACAAACAAACGCCCATATAGTAAATAATCTAAGTCAAAAAAAAAAGAAAACTATTAGGTATTCTGAATTCTTCAATCTTCAATTTAATGGGGTAGGTACCTTTAATTACTTCAGAGCCATCATCATTCTTATTTAAAACCTCAGGAGAGTAATTTCTTGGCATATAATTAATATGAAATCTATCGATCATTTCCATAAAGTTTACACGTTCACTTGGATCAACTTTTAATGGTCGCGATGTGAATAAATATCCCAATGAACCATTAAGTATCGGTGAAACATTCATCGAATATGATGCCTTGAGTAATGGAAATTTGATTTTTGATATCGCAAATGTTAATCCACGTGGTATCTGAAAGTCCAATATTGCTGTATTTTATTTAAACGAAAAAGAAGAAAAAAAAAATCGCGTTTTAATGTACATTTAAAGATAAAAAGTAATTGATAGAGCAACAAAAACATATTGAAGTGTGATTAAGTTCTTACGTTTAAAGACGTAAATTCCTCACCTCGTGAAGCCGCACATAAATTAGAATATTGGTTATCATCATTCCAGTCAATAGTCTTAAAATATGTACGAAGGCAATAATCCATAAAACTATGCATTTTGTCGCTTTAATATAAGTATAAAATTCAATATATTTAGAGAAAATGTAAAGTCAGTCTAGAACTGATATTGGATGACGGACATATTTAGACCATGTGTGATATCGATCATGTCGATCATGTGATCTGATTTCGGCCAATCATAATTGTAGAAATGTTGACCAATCAGAAAGATGGGGGTAAATTAGTGAAATCGGATTTGTCGCGTTAAAAGTCACGTTAAAAGTCGCGTTAAATATCATATGCAGTCAACCCTCTCTAAATGCACACACTATATATTTTCTCTCTAAATGCACGCTCTTGTTCAGTCCCAAGCATATAGAATTCATATAAAAATTTTCTCTTTAAATGCACACCCTCTTTAAATGCACATTTTTTAAAATTTTCACTATGGTCCCGAGGGGGTGCATTTAGAGAGGGTTGACTGTACTGAATATAAAACATTTCTTCGTCAACTTTGTTTTCTCCTACATTGTTCTCCTACAGTAGTGACATAAAACTTCTGTTGAGAAATAACCTTCATAACTTTAGTAAAACATATTCCACCTTCTAGTTCACGAATTCTTGGTCTTTTTACTAAATCGGCAATTCGGTCATAAGATACAAGTGGATTTATTATAGCTCTCTTAGAGAATGAATTCAGGTAGGCATACCATTCCTTTTCTCAACAGGAATGCTATCTCCCTTAATGGGATGCTGTTTACCTCCTCTTTACGAGGTGCTGCCTTCCCTTGATGGGATGCTGTTTACCTTCTCTTTACGAGATGCTACCTTCCCTTGATGGGGATGCTCTTCATATTGCTATTTTATTTTTACTACATAGCACATTTCAATTAACTGCTTACTCTCTTTTTAGCTCCAGGTTATAAAAAACGTTCCTGTTGTGGAAAACCAGAATTATCGGTGATGCTGTACGGAAACATTAACTCCCTTAATGAAGAAGATCTTGAAACATGGCTACTCAAAACAGTAAAACTTCCGTTTGTACATGTAAGCAAAAATATACATGTTGGGTAAGTATTTCTATGTTATCTATGTTCTTTATATATGTTCTCTGTTGATTTTTAAAAAAATTCATTCACACACTGATTCTGATTTAATTGTAGCTACGGTCATATGGGAGTGTTTCTAGGAAAATCAGGTTCCGAGAAATTTTTGACTAAAATAAAGAGCTTAATACATTTTAATCTAATAACATCAAAAACTAAAATGTAATAAAAATCTCAATTTTTCCCGGAACCTGATTTCCTAGCAATCAACCCATATACATTTTTCCAGTCACGAAGATGCGAGCAACTTCTTCTATGCTTATGAAAACGTCACTTTTGATGGTCCTACAGGCGAAGAAGACATCAGAATAAGAGAATCGTATTATTTTGGGAGATCAAAGAGAAAGGTTGTTTATGTAAAAGTAAGCATTGACTATTATATGCTGGTACACCAAGTTTTTTTTTCATAAGCTTCAATTCATCACGTGCATCAATAAATTTCTGATATGTGTATATTGTTAGAATCAGAAAGTGCAAGTTTTTATATTTGCGCAAGACAGATAACTAACCCATGTAGTTGTGCATTTGTAAAGAGTTTGGAAATTATATGTAGTTTTTGTGCAAGTATACTATAAAAAAGGCGTTGAAATAAATAGCCAGAAACCTCTATATCATGCCATTAATTTCTTAAAATTAATGTTACATAATTTTAAATTAGTGATCCTGACATGACCAATGATGATAAATGAAAATACTAATATCATAAAAACTTTATTAAATCAACAAAAGAAAATTCGGTAATCTTTATTCAAAAAAGAAATACTAACATTTCATATTTAATCAATATCCATACTTTCCTGATTGAGTCCTTCTTTATGACTATATAATAATAATATAAATTATAAATCACTTCTTCTTTAATTAAAAAAATTACAATTATGATATAAATTACTTACCGTCCAATAATATACATTGCATTAATCACAAAAGCTTCAATATGGATAATTGCTTTCGAACCAATCACACTTCGATGCTCCTATAAAATTATATCAATAGTTAATAAAGATAATTTAATAAAAATCAACCTTAAATACATACAAATTCGGCCGCTTTTTCAAGAATTTCGCATTTGACATTGTTATCAGCTCTTCTTACTATAGCGAGGAAAAGATACTGAAAATAAAACATAATAATTAATTATTTCAAATATATAATAGTGAATATAAATAAAATTGTCTAACATTAAACAATTTACCTTCATCAGATTTGATGGCAAAATGTAGGTGTTTAACAATTCATAAAGTGAATCTCGGATTTTGTCTAAACTAGATATTTCAATGGTCATAAAACATTATTAAATAGCTTATTACATATGACACCTAGTATATATATAATAAAAAAGGAAATGTAATTTAACTCTTCAGGGCTATGGCGAAGGCATATATTATTGGCAATATCGTTAATAATTTCTTCCCAATCCGTAAATTTGTAACGAATATTATCTTTCAATTCGTCGCTATAAGTTTTATAAAATAAAATAAAATGAACTTGAATTCAAAATAACAGCTATAATTAGAATAATCAATTAAAGATAACATACTATTCCATGTATAAAGATTCAAAAGATAATATAGCTTTCCTCAGATCTCGATTAGATTCATCTGCAATAAGCTTTGCAACTTTTAAAGGAAGTTTGATATATTCTTTTTTCGCGATATTCGAAAGTGTTTCAATTATCTGCAATTTAGAAAAAGCTCACTTGTAACCATTATATTATAATTACCAATTAATAAAATATGTTGCATAAAGATGTGTTATATAACCTCGTCATTTGTAGGAGCAGGTACTCTGATCAATAAACATCTACTCCGAATTGGATCAATAATTTTACTTGGAGATTTACAACACAAGATGAGCCTCACGTTCGACATATACAATTCCATGGTTCTGCGTAGCGCAGCCTGAGATTCACGTGTAAGTGAATCAGCTTCATGTATAATAACCACTAAACAGATCATTTTATTAATCTCTGAATAATTCAAAAAATCGAATCTTAATCTTAACGTTACCTTTGAAGTCGTGTTTAATGGACAAATCAACTTGTTTTGTTTGGGCTACATCTTTTAGAAACTCTTGAATAACTACTCGGTCAGAAAATCCAACTTCGCTAGGTAAATTATAAATCATGAAAATTAGGTTCATATTCGAAATTTACATATAATGTCAAACATTAATTACTTAGGGGTTATCTCAAGATGATATTTGCTCGAAACAACAGTTATATCAAGTTTTCGAGAAGGCGTGGTAAAAGTTTGTATATCAGTTTTAAGCTGTCATCAATTGAAAAAATAATTAATAAACTTAAAAGTAACAAGAAAGTTACGCAACTATAAAACCAATACCTTTCGAACGCCTGGACCATATAACTCTTCTAATAGGCAAGAAATACGCGTCTTTTTGCCTGCACCCGAAGGACCATATATAAGCAAGTGAGGAAAATCTGAAGTCGCCTGAAATAGTAACGATGCAAAGAAATAAAGTAAGAATGCTTTTACACGCCTTATATTTATATTTTGGAAAGCGCGTAAACTTTGAAATATCGTCCTTACCAAAATTTTAAGGCGATTTGTTAGCTCTGTATGATATGTAAGCTCTTCAAGAGATTTTGGTCTATATTTATCAACCCAGAGACTCATTATTTTCTATTTTTTTTTGAAAGAATGAATTCCACACTGTGATATTTCTTGAGAGATTTTCTTTCGTAATGTCACATTTCACACATGAGATCAGGCACGTGAATGAGATTTTCTGATCACCATAAAATTTTCGTTTCTTTTACACTGCTCTGAATGTTCATTTTACGAACAAGTTAACGAGTTAACAGGAATTTTCAGGATGCCACCATTACCGGTTAGTGCGGTAGCACTTCCGGGAGCCTTTATATCAGTCATAATAGAGGGAAATCAAGAAAAAGATCTTACAGATTCAGTTAAAGAGCAGCAAAATACGTTGCTTGCAACCTCTTCTGCTGACAAGGAAGCAGTTTTTTCGTGTATTCAACGAATTGATGACAAAATTCGAAGCGTGAAGGTTTGATATATCCTCAATTTATACTGATCTTTTTTTTAAAAAATCTTACTTAGCTATACAGTAAAATATATTATTAACTTAAACATTGTTTCGCGGCATTGATTTCTTTGAACTTCTAGACCGAAGCTTTACAAATAATTCTTGATCATAAAGATGTTTTTGTTAAACTTTATAATGATTCTGTTTCATTGCGATATAGGATTGATACATTATTCACGGAGGTCGATAATGTTTCTCAAGAAGTAAATCGTCCCGAGGTATTATTTTAAGCCGATTTGATGAATTTGAAAGATTAATTAATAAGAAAGATCAAGATATCTTGAAAGTCAATATTTTAAATTTTTGATTTTGATTATTAAACCAAGTACAGACTGGAATGAAGCCAAAACTTATTGATGTGTTACAAGAGAATAGGTCTGTAATGCAGGAGGTTCAGAACACTAAATCAGTGGTGGAAACTTTAGAATACTTGAGTGAGGTATTTGATATGAAATATCTTATAGGTGTTCGGTAAATTATACCATTTCTATATTTAAAACAACCATATTTCGTCTTGTAATGAAAAGATACAAAAATGTATAAAGAGGTTTCACGAATATTTAGACCAAGGTCGAATTGAGGAAGCTGCTGGCACTATCACACATATGGTACGAGAAGAATTATAAAATACTATTATATAATTTTTTATAAGTTCAATTTACTTAATACAAGTGTAACGTATTTTCCATAGGATAGCTTATTAGAATCTCCTCCTGTACCAACTGAGCGAAAAATTCAAATTTTTGATAGGCTAAAGGTTCGTTCTCAAAGTATATAAACATTTGAATCGAAGAATACGTGATTTGTAATTAAAAAAAAAAAAATTTGTTATTTTTATTGTTATATCATTAGTTACAATTATCCATTATGAAAGAATCATTGGATCAAACCCTTGATGATTTATTAACACAATCAATTTCTTTCAAAAAAATTGATGATGAGGGATCTAATCTCACTGTATTATCCTCCGTAGAAGGCAGGTATTTTTATTATTTTTTTTTTAAAAAAAAAAAATCATTATACATGTAGATTCGTATTTATTTAATAAAGTTGATTTTTTTGTTTAGGTGCGAACACCACTGCACTTTTAACATCAGTGTTTATTTCCCTCAACGAGGTTGATTCAATTAATATGCAATTATCGAGATTAAAAAAGAATGTAATGAAGTATTTAATCATACCCTTATTGAAGCATCGCGACTCTTGGAATGCTTCCATAGAGGTTGATGACAATATTACCGCTCGTTTGGTAATTGGTCCAGACTTGAATGATAAGAGTACAATTCAAGGTGATTTATTAATTAGTTCGTATTATGAAAAGCTTTAAAATTTCTTTTACTAATGTCTTTATTTTTTTAGATAGAGTATTTACACCATTGATTACTATATTCAAATTCATTTATACATTCATATTTGGAGGTCTCGACCCTTCTACTAAAAAACTTGTAATATTACCACTTGCCACTCAATATTCATCTACATTTGGTAAATTTATCTCGCATGACTTACGCGATGTCGTTATCGACGAATACCTTTCACATGTGATTCCTACAGAGACATTTGAATTCAAAAGGTTTGATGAGGTGGCAAATGATGTAATATGTTTTCAGGCCGAAATGCGTAAAATGGGATTTATGCGTGAGTCTCGAGGTGGAGAAGAGGAGGAGGAAAGAACTTTAGGTTCATATGTTGCGAAGGTTGATGTTCATTTTACAATTAAAAAACGTGACAAGTTATTAGAACTTGGACGTAACGTTATGATGGATGTAAATTTCGAGAGTGAAGAAATCACGGAGGAACAGGATTCAGAACAAAACGATAATGTACAAGAGACTTTGAATAATGTGCCAGTCATTGAATCTAGTAAAGTTGACGAAATTAATGAACAAAAAGAAGATGGAAATAAGGATTTATTTGCCATTCAAAATGATAATAATAATCCTAACGATGGTTGGGAAGTCGATTGGAATGAGGGATGGGATGGAGATGATGATTGGGATAAATCGAATAATTCACAAAACCATAATGAAAATTTAAATAGTAAAAATATAATTAGTGAACAGGGAATAAAGGATAAGAAACTAGTTCGATATTCCATTTCAAATAAAGGAAAGGCACTAATAGATTTAGTAATAAAAACTTTGGATGAGATTCGTAATTTAAATGCCAAAAGGTATTATTTATTTATTTATTTAATCGATTTTAACCCTAAATGAATATTTACTAATTTATTAAATTTTGCGAACAAACAATAGTGGGATACGTCTTTATCAAGCAACTCTCGACTTGTTTGATTTATATCGTGCCGTAATGCCAGTTTTCCATCATAACACATTTAGTAATGTACCTGCTTTAGCCATGCTATTTAGGAATGATTGTTTATGGCTTGCGGATCAACTTTTAGTTGCCCAAGACCAATTCAAAGACGATCAATCATCTCCATCTAATTCTGGAGAAACCGTCGACATTAAAGGTAAAATCTCATATAATGATACTATTGAGAAATTAAGGGAATTAGGTAAAACATGGTATGATATTCAGATGGTAAGTTATATAATTAACAAAATCAAAACAACTCACTTTGAATAACTTTATTCGTATTTGATAACCAAATTTCTTTTTCTTTAAGGATAAGCAAAAAAGTATTCTTAAAGAGATTTTAGATGAAATGGGCGGAGTACAACAAATTGCAAATGATGAAAGGTTTGAGGCATGTCAAAGTGCAATGAATCAAATTGTATATACTATGAACCATTTATCAAAAATTTGGAAAGTAAGTAGTAAAAAGATGTTGATTATTTTATATATTATGTTTATGTTATTATTAAGATATCAAATTCCATATAGGATATTTTACGTCCAACGGAATACTATTCATTATTAGGTGATTTGATAGATTCGGTATTAACACGTATGATAGATTATATTGAAGATTTATATGATATATCAGCGGAAGAATCACAACAATTAAATTTAATATGTACAATGTTATTTCAAATAGAAAATTTTTTTAATAGAAAAGAGGTAATGTAATTCTTCCCTTGTTACAAAGAATATAAATTCGAATTATTAATTATTCAATTATACACTTATTTGTAGATAAATTCGATAGAAAAATACATAAAACACTGGACGAAATTTCGTCATATGACAGACATACTTGATTTACCGCTCGCAGGGATCATGAGTAGATTTTGTAATGGTGAACTCGTATGTTTTACTATCGATGAATTGGAAGGACTTATTTGTGCGTTATTCTCTGATACACCATTAAGAGAAAATACTTTGTCAGAGATCAGAGAGGGACTTCCCGTTGGGAAAGAACATTATACGGAGAAAAGTTCATTGTATTAATATAAATTATATTATTTTGTTTGTTTAAATTTATTAATGTTAATCATTAAGGTTTTTAGTAAATTTTGTTAAAGATGCTTCCATAAAACTGTAAAGGAGGAGGGAAAAATTAAAATCATTTCACGATAAATCAATTTATATCTGTATAGTAAATTACTTACCCATCTAATTCACCTTCGTTTAATACATCATCAATCTGAGTAGTTTCAAATCCAGTTCTAGCATCTTTGATAAGCTAATAAAAAAAAAGGGATATGTTTAAATTAAGATTATTTCATAGCAAATATTAAAATTGATTTTAATACGAACCTGATAAGGATGTAATACATAAGATCTAATTTGAGATCCCCAAGCATTCTCGGGTAGGTTTGAATATTGTACTTGTTTGGTATTTTTTCTATAATTACAAATAAATATCAATGTAAAAGTGTGTTGTAAAATGAAATTTCGTTAAATCACCTTACTTTTCCTTTATAACTTTATCATATAATCTAGATTTAAGCATTGTCATGGCCAAGACTTTATTTGCGCGCTGAGATCTTCCCGATTGACATTGTGCAACAATTTTAGTTGGAATATGAGTAATTCTGACAGCACTTTCAGTAACATTAACATGTTGCCCGCCAGGTCCACTTGAGCGAAATACTTCAATCCTTAGATCCGATTTTGGAATTTCAACATTTCCGGCACCAACAACATCATTTTCATTAACCATAGGAAACACAATAACAGAAGCAAATGATGTATGTCTTCTACTTTGAGTGTCAAAAGGAGATATTCTAATTAATCTATGAACTCCAGATTCATGCTTACACCATCCATAAGCGTATTCTCCATTAATTTGTAAGAATGCTAATCTACATCCAACAATTTCTCCTTTAACGTAATCCATTAACTTGATTTTATATCCATTTTTAACTCCCCATTTTTCATACATCTTTAATAACATATCAGACCAATCACAACTCTCGGCTCCACCTGCACCAGGTGTAATTTGTATAATACAACCATTTTGATCTTCTTCCTCAGTCCTTCAAAAAGAAAAAAAATCAATTATATTATTTAATTATTTAAAAATGAAAACTTCAAATTTAACATAGATTATACATACATAAACGAAGTTGATATAAATTTCTTTATTTCTTTTTCTAACATTTCCGCATCATATAAAGCAGCATTCATAAATTCCATATCATTTTCCTCATTAGCCAATTCTAAAAATTTTTTTTTTATCAAAATTTTCTTTTAAAAAATTTAAAAAAAAAACACTTTTTTTTTTTTTTAAATACCTGCTAATTCATTAATATCCTTAACATTCTTATTTAATCGTTCATATCTTTCAATTTGATCATTTAATTTAGAAAACCTTTTTTGCAATACTGTGGCCACCGACGGATCATTCCACAAAGTTTCCGACTTTCTTTAAAAATTAACGATACGTAAATTTAACAAAAATTTTAACACTTTCAGAGATATTCTTACACTTTTTTTTTTTTTCTTAAAATATTTATATATATACCTGTAGTTGATTTTGTAATTTCCGTGTTTCATTTTTAATCAAATTCCAATCTTTAGAACGGTTTAACAAATTTAAATTTTTATTCGCATTGTTAATGATATCATCAAGTTTTGTAATGATGGGACCTGACGTGTAACATCTTTTTAATAATAAATGATAAATTTGATGTTTAAAATTATCTCGTAAACGAAACATATTTTGTTAAATAAAAAATAAAATAAGTAAATTTGCACATCAATTTTTTTTATCTCATAACGTAATCGACTGATTTTCCAGTTTTGTTTGTTTTTTATTTCAATTAATTCATTGTTATAGTTGTTTTTACCTAATCAGGCAGTCCGAAAATTACATATTTATTTTTATTTTGATCTTTTTTTTTCCCCCTTCATTATAAAGAATGGTTGCAAGACTCCCTTTGGTTTACCTTGTTCGACATGGTAATATATTTCCTTTTATTATCCAAAAATTAATTAAATATTTATATAGTATTGGATATACTAGGTGAAACAGAATGGTCAAAAGCAGGAAAACACACATCAGTCACAGAGGTAGAATTAACGTCTCATGGTATCACACAAGTTCACGACTTGTCTCGTTTCGTTTTTGAAAACACGTGTCAAGGTAATGCTCAAGACACATTCACAACCATATCACATTTCCTTTAATCAAGTTTCCTATTTTGGCTAGGTTTCATTGATCCAAAAAATCTCTCACAGATTTATGTTTCGCCTCGTAAAAGAGCTCAACAAACCCTTGAGTTGATTAAAATTCCCAATAAAGATCAAATTCCCACTTTCACTGATATTAATTTGACAGAATGGAATTATGGTGATTACGAAGGAATCTCGACACATGAAATTCATAGTAGTAAATACGTATTTTGGAATCTTTGGTAATAATATTTTATTCGAGAGAGATTTTTAGAAAGTTTAGAAATTATTAAGATACTTTTGATTACACTTAATAGGAGAGATGGATGTCCCAATGGGGAAACCATTCAACAAGTAGCCAACCGAAGTGATCACATTATTGCAAAAATTATGGCTCATCAGAAAGAAGTACTTTCATAAAATTTACTCTCATTTTCTAATTTTCTGCTTTAAATACTGAATAAAAAATTTTCTTCCTCCCCTTTTATTGATAAAGCATTTAGATAACAAACCCAATTCGCCGGGAGGTGACGTGCTTATCGTAGCGCATTCTCACTTGTTGAGAATTATGGCATGTAGGTGGTTGAATATGAATCCTGAATTCGGAAGAAATTATATTCTTGATACCGCAGTAAGTGAATCATAAGCATATATTTATATCTTTGATCAAGATATTGAAAAATTTTTTTGCTATCAATGACAGGGATTGTGCGTATTGGGTTATCAGCGATCTATGAGATTTCCGGTGGTTAAACATTGGAATGTGACCAGTAATTTATTTCAAAGGACTTAAAGAACAGAGTAATGCTTAATAGTTTGTTATATTATATTAATAAAAAAAAAAAAAAAATAATGATAATACAAGTTTCATATTAACTATTACATTACTAATAATCTGGAATCTGGAATTCTAAAATGATATTGTAAATAATTGTAAAACATCCTTTAGCAAATCTCTTTTATTTCAAATAAAATTAATAAATATAACAATAAATATACCTTGCGCAATTTTATTTTTTGCTTCGATTTTTAAGCATTTTCTCTTGTATAGCTCGGAATTCCTCTTCAGTTGGTTCATTCACCATTACACCTTTGTTCTTAGTTTTCTTCCCTTTACCAGTAACCTTTGCCTTCTTACTCTCATTACTGCCATATCTGGCCTCTAAACTTTCAATCAATGCGCTCATTCGTTTTCCCCCTCTCTTAAGTATAATGTCACTAATTTCTTTTTCATCTCCATTATTCACCAATCCAAGTTCTTTCGCCATCTTTTCAGCTTCTTTGGCTTCGCGTTCTGCTTCCATCTTACGTTTATTTATCGACGATTTACTAGAAGTTTCTGTAAACTTTTTGTATGATCGGATTTCCTTGGATTTTATTGCCTCATTGAGAATTTCACGAAAACGTGGTTCATCATCTACATTGGAACCTGGAACTCTAGTCATGATTTCATCCATGTTACCTTTAGAAGTTTTGTAGGCTTCAATGAGGTCTTCACGTTCTTCCTCTGACCCTAAAATTACAAGGTTGATTTTTTTTTTCTTTTTTAAAAAAAAAAAAAACATATCAAAAAATTCATTGAATGACATCTCCCTATCTCAAACGAACCTTGATATTTCTTTTTAAATTCGTCTATCGAATTTGCATCGACAACGCCTGACCATAATTCTTTGAAAAATTCTTTCCAACCATCACTTCCTAAATCCTCTATACCAGGAAGGTCGCCCACTTCACCAGACTGATCATACCTTTCCCTTTTCTTAGGATCATTGAGTATGGAATATGCGAATCCCAAGGCTTGAAATTTTTTCGTTCCTTCCTCTTGTTCTTTTGGTGTTAAAGTGGTCAGTTTATCTGGGTGATATTGAAGTGCAAGCTTATAATATGCCTTCTTAATTTCTGCCGCTGTAGCACTTTCTGTAAGTGAAAAGAGGGAATAAAGATCTGTGGTATCTGAAAGGAGGTCTGTGAACGTTTCCATACTTTCTTTAAATATAAAACGTAAAGGTTTTTAATGTTAACTTGAAACGCTCAAAGTTAAAGTTTCACCCTGCATTGATAAGTATAATACCTACCTACTTGACGACTTATTTCGTAAAAAAAATTTGTCAGTATGATATAAAGGAACTTTCTATATAAAAAATATAAAAAAAAAATAATTTTTGAATTTTTACAAACGAAAATCAAAAAGTAATTTTATTGTAAAATTCGCTCTTTATATAAGAAACAGTGAGGAAAAAAAAAAAAACGCGTTCCATTTACCTATAAAATGAGATGTGATATATGGGAGCACGTGGTTGTGATTGGTCAAGTGACGCCCTTAAACATGATATTTAAGAGAACATCCAAACCAATTATTTCGATTACGATTTGAATCAACGCGTTAAAAAACGCGTGCGCACTTTTTTCTTTATTTTTTTATTTTATTTTTTTTTATTATTCTCTCGTAAAAAAATTACGAATAATAAAAAGAAAATTTTATTTTGCCTTGGGAATAAACTGATATAAATATGGACAACAACCGTTTCTCAAAGACTCGAAAAGGGAATTCTGACTTTAGTCAAGGACACGTTAACCCTCGGTTTTCCGAAACCGAAGAAACAAATCATTCTGGCGAATTCGGACTGAATGATCCTGATATCATTGTGGGACGATATTTAATATATGACTCAAGAACTAGACGTTGTTACGCTAGAAACAATTCTTCGTTTGAAATAAACACTCCAAGGGATGGAAATCACATATCAAAAATGATGAATGTTATACTTGGGCGCGCATCTCCAAATTCAATGAAAGAAGTTACCCGTCATTCATCATTATCGAATCCATGCATTCCCTTATATAAGCCACCCGAGCCTACATTTATACCACCACCACCACCACCGTATCCACCACCGAAAGCGTCCGCGTTTTCACGTATTCCACCCCCACCTCCACCTCCCAATTCTCCACCATTGTTATCCTTGTCTCCATTTTTTCCATCTTCACCAGAATTACCCTCGACTCCAATAGGTCCACCGCAAGTTATACAGGCCACACCGGATAGTACACCACGAAATCTGCAGAATTTAAATACATTAACGGATAATAATAGTCCGCCTTATTCTCCATTTCCAGATTCTCATTTTGCCCAATTTGATGTACCAAGTCCACCGGTGTCCGCTCGTGGGTTTTCCCCATTATCTAATCCTTATTATTCGGATGACTCAGAATCTTCTTACTCGAATGCCTCGGTTCATCACTCACCTACAACACCATTACCAACAACCGAGATTAGTTCATCTTCCGCTCAACGTCATTCCCAACTCTTAAGAAATTTTAATGAAAGATGCGATTATTTAAGTAATGCACCTTCAAGAAACTTTCATGATTCTAATCTAATACGCAATAATGAATTATCTCCTTCTCCCAACAATTATCGAACTAATTCAATATCAACTAGTCAAAGCACTAGATTAAAAATTAATCCTTTAAATTATAATGCGCTTAATGAAGGTACTATAGACTATTCATCGTCTACGGGTTCAAAAGAGCCGGATACTTTGAATTCCTACTTTTAACAGAAGAAACTATTGTGATTTGGGATGCGTCGAGTGACGAATTTAAATGCACAACACAGTTATCATTTTGATTTTAGAAACAAACGTGGGGGCATAATTTTAACGGTTTATGAAATAATAGCTTCGAGACTTCGAGATGAAAACAAAAAAAAAATTCTCTTTATATTATGGAAAAGGTTTTTTGTCTTTTTCTTTTTTATTGAATGAAGTTAAAACAAATAAATATTTTGGAATTACAATTTACACAGATACATTTAATTCGGGATGTTCCTTCCAAAATTTATCATGAATTATATCTACATGTAATGTTGTAACTACCTTTTTCTTTCTAACGACTTCGACGCCTTTCTGATTATGTGACATGAGATGAGCCTAATATAATGTAAAGTTTTATTTAGTGAGCTATATCTCAACTTATTTATTGAAAAAAGATAATTCATTACCTCTTTTCTAATCAGTACAGAACCTTTTCGATACATTTCAGGTAAATTATTATAATTTATATCGAATGATGAATGAAGTAATTCATTTTTATCAGAAGATATTGTACCCTAAATCGAATGAACTTATCTTAGAATGATGAATATCTTAAATGAAACAAAACCTAAAAAAAAAAACCACTACTCTTAACGCGTTCTCGGCTTCACTTTCTGTTTTTCCAGAATGAACCAGTGCCCAAAAACAAGTATTATACAGATTATTAATATGACCTAGTAATAAAGAAAAATAAGAAGAAGGTTGATGTTACATCTCAAAAGAATAATAAGCTTTATAAAAGTCCTTACAATCTGCTTGTCGCCAACTCAAATAATCTCTTAAATTTTTATCAGATGGATACTGAACCGTGCGTCCATCAAATGATGGAAGATATTGTAATTCTTTATCAGGAAAATACGTCTTCCAATGAAATACATAATTGGATGTGAATAAACTAACTATCGTAGATACGATCTTTCTATTTCAACCATGTACTAGGATGAATACAGGTAGAGATTTTTTAAATTTAGTTTGCGTAAGGTGAGACTTACGCGTTTCTTCGCTTAAACAGATTACTATCTTTCTTCAATATGAAACTTTTTTTGTAAATGGATTATTTAGTTCATAAGAATTCACATTATTTAGAAAAAGAGTAGGTCACTTCTTTACCTATACTCGTCACTTTGCCCATAGGCAAGAATGATATCATGTATTTCAATCATTACAGCTTCTGCGCATTTATTCATAAGATCTAAAGCACGATGATCATTTGGTTTTTCAAATTGATGACGATCTGAAAATCTTAAAGTCGCAAAAAAACAAAATTCAAAACATAATTGATTTGACAAATTCATTAATAATTGTTCGGAACGTACTTATGAAAACCATGTCCATCTATACGAATGGCAAGCCAAGTATTGGGAATTAAAGAATCATCCTTTTCAAATTGTTTAACATATTCGTACTTTGATTTCGCCATGGATATGTCCTAAAAGAAAAACAAAAAAATTTAAAATAAATTTTGTAAATAAATAATTTTATTTTTTTTTGTTGGCGACTAAATTAAACATAAGTAAAAGGCGTTATTCAATTTCGCCTTTTTATCGTCTTTGGCCAAAAACTTTGAACCGAGTTTTTTTGTAATCTTTTTAATGACACCACAAATGGCTCAGTCAATTAAATTGTAGTTTTTGGTCTCTATTGCGATTACCAAAGATTTCATCATTATACACCTTTTCTATTCTTTTCTAAAACCGATAGTAATTAAAGACTTGCCTTTTTAAAATCCAAGATTTAAAATGAAAGAGACGTGCGTCAGAATCCAAACAATCACCTGACTTTAATAAGCATAGTTCAAGTTTTGATTTCATTGGTTGATCAACAAGGGATTCTGATTGGATAAAATCAATCCATTTTGTTTTCACTAAAAAGTTTTTAAAAGTTTTTATTGTGGTATAAACCAATAGAAGTTAAAAATTACAATTTTAATTCTATTAAACCTAATTTTCAAATAATTTAAACTTTTAAATTATTAACTCAAAAAATTATTTTTTTATAATTGAATTTTCAAATTATTTATAATAAAATCTTTTATTATAAAAGAACTTTATAATAATTATTTTATTTATCTATAATATTCTTATTGTAATAAAGTAATTACTATCTAATTAATGCATAATAGTCTTATAATAAATGTATAAAATCTATGTATAATTTATATATATACTTATTATTTTTTAATATATATATATTATACAATATAAAATATGTACAATTTATTATTAAAATAGATAAATTATATATAAAAAAGGTAAGTTTACATAAGAAACTAATATAATTTCTTATTTTAATAATAAAGCTATAAACTAATGCTTATTTAGATTTTATACTCTATCTATAATTATGATTATATATTATTTATAATGTTCTAATTATTATTATGTTATTACTATACAACTACTATATTTCTTTATTCTAATTATTCTTTTTTAATTCTTTTATAATATTCTTAATTTAAGTATTATATATATTATCATGATATCATTTTTTTATTGATTAGTTTGTTAATGTATACAGTCACACATCGATATAACGAAGTTGCTGATCCAGCTGATCAGGACTTCGTTATAAGAATCTTCGTTAACGCTATAACGAATTATGCGGTATGTATAACGAATAATTCGTTATA